AAATATATATGTGTATATTATATAATATATATAAAAATATATTTACTTTTCGTAGACACTTAGGCAAATAAGGTATAATTTTTCTGGGCTCTACCTGAAAAGAAAAACCTCTGCCCTAAGGACCTGATGTTCTCCTTATTCTGATATCACATGCATTGACTTACTTTCTATTGTGCAAGCATACAAAGTTCAGAATTACGTGAATTACTGTGAATTTGCAACTGAGCCTCCTCCTTTATTCTCCAAGCCTAGCTGAAATGTCTCTTCAGTATCCAGATGTGCTTCTCCAAAGACCATATTGGGATTGTGTAAAGCAGGTCTGTGCTACCTGTTCCTTTGTTGCAATGACACACTCCTCAGGGCCACTTTCTAATACACAGCCATGTCTGGACGTTGCACACAACAATGTGTTAAGTGTTGGGAGAGCTTTTGAAAAACCCATCACCAAGTTAAAGATGGGGTGGTGAACAGGCAACAGTATAAAACTCCATGAACTGCCTTTCATTCATCCCGCTTCTGCTTTACTTGGAAAGAAATCGGCGTAACAGCCTGATGGTCTAATATTTAAGTTATCAAGAAAACAAAGAAAATGCTGTAGTCCTCCAGTCACAGGCTGTGTGAGTCTTAGTGAAAATCCCGTCCCAATAGTAAGCACGGGAGATGCAGTGACAATTGCTTGTAACAGGGATGGTGGCACTAGATTGTATTGCCTTCTTGATTTAGTAGATTTGACTTCTACATTTTCACACAATGACCTAAAAGAAATATTATACCCTAGAGTAACTTTGAAATTGTTTGTTTAAATTAACTTTCATTTGGATTTATGCTTAATGAAATCTTCAGAGATGCAGACAGCCCCTCTGTAATGAAATGCTATATCTTTGAACCAATGAACAGGGTTGCCAAACTGTAAGGATTCCTCTCTAAATGAGTGGGCTTTTATAATGTTACACTTGGGTGGCACAAGCAGAGTGGTAGATGATTAGTTTATGGTCTAGATCATTGTATTTTTATTACACTCATAAAAACTGTGTTTCTCCTCATTTTCGTAATGGCTTCAATGAGCTTCTATACCTTCTAGAGGCACATTAAATCGTTATGTGATGAAAGTACTGATTTAGTGGGGCTAGTTTTAAAGGAAGATGCATGTTTTGAATTCTTATCTTAGTCTGATTGCTGACTAGAAAAGGTGAAACTATGTTGGAATGAATGAGATCTGTATCACCTTCCTTACATACAAAGAAGGTTCCCAGCTGCGGCCTAAAACAAATGCAGTACAGAAAAGATATAAATGATAAATCTACATCTGTCTGTAAAATAAATTATCCATCAATTTAAAGTATTTTAGCTGGTTTTGTGGCATTATGAGTTTCTAACAGGAGGGTAAGTGGATTGCAGACATTTTTTATATTTAAAAATCTTTTTAAGGGAAAAAAATAAAGAAGGTAAGGAAGATTATTTTTATTCCTTGCATTCAACTGTAATTTTTTCCCCCACTTCTGTTCAAATTGATAAATAACCCTGTTCTCTGCAAACCCTAGATTCATTTCTCTAAGTAATTCTAAGCCGGTTTTAAAAGTTGTTTTAATTATGTTGCAAAATGAAAAAAAAAGGAAGAAAAATGTAATTTGTTTTTCTACATGCAAGCTATTCTTAAGAGAAGACAACATCATTATCCATGAATGGGAAACCTTTTTATTTGATATGTAATTAAAAAAAAAATAATCCTTGAATTGAATGTATCGTCTCATCTTTGCACAGTTTAGACAAAGGCCTTTTTTGTTTACAAAATTTACATGTCAATACAGTTGCTTATAAATATTTCTGTGAAATAAACATAACCCTTCACAAAAAGAGCAGTTTGCTCTTCATTCAGTAATTTTATATGCTAGCAAAAAGACAATGAAAGTTGTATGCAAATATAACATCAATGTACAGCATAATAATAACAGTTTTGGTGATTATGCTGCTTGGTATTAATTCATAGGAGCCTTTTTGTTCAGCCATGGGCTGTGTTTGGAACAGAGATACGCCAGACCGGAGCATCTTTGCTTGTTTGCTGTTTGTGGAAGATATCCACAAATGCATTAGTTGAGGATGTGCTGGCTTCCTGTATCCTACTCTGTGCCTGGTCTAAATTAAGCGATCATGCTGGTAGTGAAAAAATACTGTTTTCCTCTGTTCCTGCTGTACCTGTGCACTGAGTGCACCGTCTGCAGCAGGAGTTGGACTTTCCTTCTACCTCCAGAAAACAATGGAAACAAAAAAAGGGAAAGTAAATGGGGAAAAAAGAGCTAGAAAAGAGAAGAGGGGAGAGAACAAAAAGAATATGGAAAGATAAAAGAGAAAGATAACAAGCAAAATGACAAAAAGGAAAATAGAAAAAGGAAAAGGGAAAAAAGAGAAAGGAAAAGGAAAAAAGGAAGATTTTTTTTAAAGGAAAAAAGGAATAAAAGAAAGAAAAAAGAAGGAAGAAGAAAGAGAAAGTAATGCCCATTTGCAACAAATCTTTTATAAATGTGTGTCTGGAGGGATGACTGAAATGTTTCTGGAAGAACAGAGTTGGTTTGGGTTTTTCCTGCCTTTTCCTCATTACTGTTGCTCAGACCCAACTTTTATGACTGTTACAGCAATGCCTTACTTCAGTAGCTTTTGCTACGTGGCAAACTGCAGAAAGACACAGGGTTGAGGACACAAACAGGTTTGAGCACATGTGACTTTAGTAGGTCTGTGATAATTTAGTATTAAATATCAAGTTCCAAATAACAGTGTGTCCTGCAAGCATCATTCGGCATTAAAAAATGGATCTAAAAGTTCAACAGAAAAACAGCTGAACGCCGTACCAGGAGCAAGGAGAGGTTTTGTGGAAGACCCTAACTGAAATCATGGGAAATTCTTTAATATTTCATGGACTCCTGCAAAATATGGTGCCAGTTTATTCAGGGATTTGAAAGCAGCTGCAGAGTAAAAGTGTCTAATGAAAATGAAATAAATTTCCTGTGAATGGAATAAATTTTGATTGTGTGTCTGAGTGCAGTAATTATACATGTCACGCAGTAATTAGGCAGTCACAATGTGGCCACGGTGTCTTTCTTTGTCTGCAGATGGTCTGGGAGAACGGCTGTGTCGTTATTGTCATGCTGACACCCCTTGTGGAAAACGGAGTCAAACAGTGCTACCACTATTGGCCAGACGAAGGGTCAAACCTCTACCACATCTATGAGGTACCTAAACAGAATATCTGGTTGTAAACGTGACAGTAAGTGTATGGGTTGATTTCATTGATTTCATGTGGGGCAAAATGGTGTTTAAGCCGACCTAACCTGGAGGTTGAGCTGAGGGCTCTTAAATACACTTTGTGTGCCTTCAAGTAGTTTTAGATTTGCAGAAAACACAAGTGCAGTTTTAATAGCTGAATAAAATGCAGTAAATTGTGAGCAAAGTATTAACAATGAAAAAAAGGACAATAATTTGGTTTTTCAAATGGTTTTGCAAGTAGCTGAAATATGAAAGCATGTATTTATATTTTATAGGAAAATAGTATTTTTAGAACTAGTGAATTTTGCCTTAGGAAAGCCATGTGTATATCTCTGTAGAGAAGCCTCTGTACAGCTTTAGTAATTAATGCTATCTATTTTTACCTCTTGCTTTAGTCACAACAAAAAAATTATATATTTTTATTTTCTGCTTTACATGTCTAGCCCAAAATATCGTATCACCAATTTTGTTGCAGTGTAACATTGACAATGGCTGTCAGATTTTTCCAGTTGTCCAGCTGAGTAGAGGAGGAAAATAATACCACAATGCCAAATATGAAGAATAGGCAAATGTGAAGAAATACTGTTATTTATACAAAAATGTTCACAAACTTGTTTTCCGAAAAGATGAGCTCTGCAAATAACCTGCATTTTTTAGTGCTTATTTTTCTACATAGCAGAAGAAACTCGCTTTTCACTCCCCATGTGAATTCAGTGCAGATTTTTAAGACCTCTGAGAGTGGCCTGGGCAGTGCATTCTGGACATTTCTGAGTAGAAAGCAACTGGAGTCTAACATATTTTCAGGAAGCATCTTTTGTATTCACATAAAAATATGAAGTTTCAATTTAGTGAGTTTTCCTTTTGCGTTAAGACTGTCAAGAATTTTTCTTATGTTTTCAATAGAATAGCAGTGGCAGCTAAACCCTTCCTGACAACTACATTGACTGCTAAATCAAAAATATTTTCCCAGCACTGGCCAATTTCCTGATAAAAGTAAAACTTTCATGCAATTCCTTCATTTCAGACATCTTACACCTGCAATCCTGAAGATTTGGCTTGCAACTGAAATTGCTGATCTCCGTTTGTTCCTTCCTGGGGGGTGTAGGTAAACCTTGTCTCTGAGCACATCTGGTGCGAGGATTTCCTCGTGAGGAGCTTCTACCTGAAGAACCTGCAGACAAACGAGACACGCACAGTGACACAGTTCCACTTCCTCAGCTGGAACGATCAGAGGGTTCCTGCTTCTACAAGATCACTTCTGGATTTCCGCAGGTAAAGCACAAAGTATGACAATTTAGAACCATACAGATCTGAGGAACTAAGCTAGTCCTTTTACTTGTCCTTTAAATATTTCTGGTTTGAAAAGGGGGTCCTCAGCCTGTGATGCCACAATGCTAGACTAACACAAAAATCTGCAGTAGGTTGATGTGTAATGTTGTTTCACACATAGATGTTGCCTGGTTTTAGGACATACTCATCTCCCATTTAGAGATAGATACCTCTCCTCCCTTTGTACAGCTCTTCAGTGCTTCTGTATTTCTCTGTTTTCCAAGTATTTATCCATTCTGCAACTTCCAGGCTTTTCATGTGGCTCCCCTAAGATCCTTATTGTAGGAATCTCACAAATAAATTATGTAGTATGAGCGTGCTTGAAAAAAAAAACATCACAATGGAGTCATATGGCAATAACAGCATCCCCATGAGAGCGTTTGCTCATAAGGATCAAACAGTGAGGTCTGTAGACCTTCTTTGGCTGCAAGAAGGTGGAAATTTGAGAAAGCAATTGAAAATGTTGACAAAGCGTACCCTTTGGAATTTTCAAGAAAGTCAATGTGGCTTTAAAATACAAATATGCAAAGGCAAAACCTGTGAAAGTCCTTGCCACCTTCTCTAACGTTTGCTGTGTCTATCTAAATTTTAATTTGAAAATTAAAGCCATGAGTGATAAATGCTGGTCTGAAATAATCTTCATTTGATTGCAAGCTGTGCCCAGTGCGTCATGTGTAGGTGTTAGCGTGTATCAGCTAATCCACAGCGATGCGCTTAAGACTAATGAATCTCTGGGAGGTTTGGGGAGTTAGTTCTCAATCCACAAGCAGCCTATGGGATAGCATGTTTTCCTCTCTGTACTACAATATTACCTACAACCCCCAAAAGTGATTAGAAGGGGCTCAGTGCTCAAAAGGTCCAAACTTCTTTCAATATGTACTAGGAGCTCTGACTGATGCCAGTCAGATTTGCGCTTGTGCACCTGAGGGGGAGAAGCTGGCGTATATCCAAAGGGAGCTGGTTGTACAGTTGTCTGTTGGCAAAATTTTACCCTTAAAAATTTAGGACTAAATGCCACCCTTCATCCATCACTATTCTCATAGATATTGCAAGGCTTTTCAAAGCAGAGAATCATCTCATGTGGTGCAGTTCAAGTAACAGAATACAGCTGTACTGCGTCACTAGGAGCTATGGCTAGGTAAGAGTATGAAGCTATGCTACACAGTAGCAAAACAAAAGAAATTGTGAAGGAATGAAGCACAGCCATAGGATGCAGTTGAAATTGCAATTGAATTTTCAAGGTTTTCTTCTCTGGGTTCAAACTTTACTGTGATTTTTATAGGTTGATTTCCCTTTGCTTTGGTACCGAGGAGGTTGCCTGTTGTGAATTTCTGTAGAGAAAAATCTGAACTGGTTCCATTAAGCTGTGTGAGGCTGCAGCACGGAGCCAACACAGCATCTGATTTTGCTCTTTCTCAAGTTAGTGGGAAATCTGCTAGGAATTCTAACTAGACTATAAATGAGCCTGTACAGCCAGGACGTCCAAAGTTTGGCACACCTTGACTCTGAGTTGCTTCAGTAAGAATTGAGGTCCCTGCATGAACTGCAGAATTAGATCTCCAGAAAGTCACAGTTCGCATCTCCAAGAAAGTACTTCTTAGAGTGACATTGTGTAAAGGTTAAATAGCCATGTTGAAGAAGTGTTGTGCAATGCTTCTTTGAAAAAGAAAAACGATAACTAGATGAGAAAAGCAGTGGAGCTGCCATTCTTTGTATTTAAAGCCAGTTTGGGAATGAACCTGTTAAGATTTAATTGAATTCTGAGTGTTCATTTCATATGTATTCACAGTCCAGTGTAGGGTACTGTAATCACTTGCTACGTGCAGATTTTGTACAATGAACTCATAATACTGAATGCATAGTAAAATTCCGCCTGAAAAGGAATTTTGGCATGCACAATAGCTGGTTTATGAATCTCAGTTTTCTTGGTCATCTGATGTTGCTGATTTTTTTTTTTTTAATGACAAAAAACCTAATGCACTATTGCTAAGATAATGTATTTGGAATTCATTTGTACAACCCATGTTTTGCACCTGAAGCTTCCTATTCAAAGTACAAACTCCGCTGAATTACAACAGCTGAGTCATAAAGGCCCCACAGTAAATGTCTGACAGCGCTACCGCACTCATAGTAAGGTAGTGCGAGGAAGGGGCTGCTCTCATTTCTTTTAATCTTATCTATGTTTTTATGTGCATTCAGTGTGTTTGTATATATATATGGATATGTGTGTATATTTATATATTCACATACATATATGAAATCAAGCATATACATAACCAACCCTCTATTTTTTATAATTCATCACCAAGAAAAATTGGATTCCCAAAATTACCTTGCCCAGAGTCTGTGGAAATATAGACCTTAAAATTTTTATTGAAGTAAATTTTACAAGTCTCTTTGAAAACTGAAAGCTTACGTTTCTCTTACTATGTATCAGACAGTGTTTTAGATGATTTCGCATCTAGCAGATACATTAAACTTTGCAGAACAATCTATCATACTTTCATAATGTAGGTACAAATTGAAAAAAAAAAAAGAGATAAAGAGATTATTCTATATATTTTTAAAATCTGTGCACAAGACAGTCCCTGAGAGGTGAGGCTACTGCAGAAACCACTGGTCAGTTTTAAATGCTTCTGGAGTCCTAATTTCATTTTGAACAATAGACCAATCATTATTGCTCTGGACTAGCTTGTTAGTCATGCACTGATATGTGTCATTAAATATTTCTTGAGCCCAGAGGGAGCACATTTACACTTTAAAGAGGGACTGCTAAGCTAAAAGATAATTAGCATCACATGTGAGGGCTTTGCTTAAAATATATATCTATTATGCTATCACTTCTTGCTGTGTGCAATGGCATTTACTAACACTGCTCACTTTAAAAATGGACAAATTCTTATTTTGCCAGCTAATTAGCGGTTGCCAGTGTCATTTTTGTGATGTTGCAGCTAGTAATATGAGCCCAGTTGCATAGTCACAAAAGTGATCATTGGAAACTGTGACTCTGCTGCAGGGACAATGTGGGAAACCCCTTTTCTGAGCCTCTAACGACCTCTGACCTTTGCTTGCTGATGGTTTGCATGATGATTTCTTTTTCACTCAATGAGCCAAGGGTTGGTTTGTATTACTAATCATTCTTTCTGAGTTAATTCTTCCTGTATATGTATATATATAATATATATTTTCTTCAACATTTAAGAACTTTGCTTACTGATGAATTTTCAGCTCACTCTCATTAGCCAGAACTAAGAATGAAATGAGATGTTGCTGCACTTGTAAATATTTTCATAAACTATATATAGACAAATCTATGAACCAGCTGGATTGAAACCCTTTGTTTTAATGTGTTTTCTGAAATGTGTGATAATGAAAATGTTTGAAACGCCTTCAATAAAACTGACAAACATAAGGT